CCCATTAATGTTCGAAATTTTCTTGTTCAAACTTTGTTATCATTTTTCGACAACATCATAAGATTACCAATTGATCCATGTGACTCCCAAAGAAAACAAAACACTTTATGTAAATTTATTCTCACGTTTTTTCGGCAAATTGTTTCGGTGACACACGACGGATTGTTCTTCCGTTGTCGTTAACGAAGTTTCCACCCCGTAATCCAATCGAACGTCAGTCAAATTAACGAACTGTTATAGTATCGTGGGTCGCGAAGTGTGACGTGGGGGTACGGGGTAAAAAGAGGGCTGATGGAACAGTCAAAAAATCGTGCAGAATTTGTTTTTCTTTTCTCTTTTCATTCTCTTTCCCTACCCTCTTTCTATTTCCTTTTCGTTTTTTTTTTCACCACGGATAAAAAAATATTAACCCCGCCATTCACAATGCCGAATTTGGAATGCGTTCGATTGACGAGTTGCACTTGTCCCGTGCCCAGCGATCTTTATATATCTCTTATTGCACAATTGGAAACTGTTACTTGTTTCTGTAATTCGATATTTTATTGATTTCACTTATCAACAATGGAAATGGGTTTGTCCATGGTTAACGATGAATAATGAACGTGCGATGCGATGAAACGAACGATTTGAGATGAAAATTTTTGTAAAATAATTATATCTACCGATTTCGGAAATCTCACGAAAAAGTGCTTCTTTTTCGTTCTTGATTGCCCTGCGAAACGACATTTGGAGAAAATGAAAAAGTTTGCCATTTATTCCGGATCACTTGTCCGCTGGGTATACTCCACATAAATATGTATGAGACTGTACCGGCAGGGCTCGATTAATTGGTCAGTAAAGCCCAGTCCCTAATTAGCGTTGAAAGATTCATATTAATTCGAAGGCAATTTGCAATTCTGCGATATTCGACAGGAGTTCGAGGTATTCGAGAGACTCCCCAGATTTCAGGTGCTTATTATATGTATATATGCGTACATAGATAACTGAAAGGTATTCCTGTGATTTCAGCCAAACCGTATGTGACTATATGAATAGAGAAACGATAATAGCGTTACTATCCCTATATACGTATAACACCTATATGAAATTTATTCACTTATATGCATGCCCATATGATTACATGTTGTACGTATATTCACGGATGGAGCAGTGATAAAGTTATTGTATATTTCACGTGAATAATGCCAACTGCCAGAAGCAGTTTTCTACTATGATAATATTGTTTTTACTTATGAAACAAGACTTGTACATTATCAGTAGATAGTATTGTTACAGCGGTACAAAGAACTTGAGTGTAATGATTACGTATAGTTACACGTAATTCATGCAGCTACTAGTTTAAAGAAAAAAAGAAAAAAAAAGGTAACCGACAAGTGCGAATCAAGTAGATACACATATATACGGTTATTAGGTATACGTATTACTATATGTTTTAATAGAGATTCACTGTATTAAAAGCTAGTGCTTATAGGTTAGAAAAAAAATGTAGACTTTTTGTACGGTGGACGTGTATATTATGGAATCCATATACACTGTCCTAATCTTATGGTCAATTTATAGTTCAATATATCATTCGCGGGATGACGTTTATTTGCGCGAAAAGGCAGACGAAAATGTAGGATAATAAACTATCGTAGTTCGTGTACCGTCAAACGTGGCCCAAGTAGATTTTCACGATGCCGGATTTCGGTTTTCGTACGGAGTCGAATTACTCGCGTGCCTGCACCAAACGAATGGAATTATTGTCACGTGGGATTACAAAGTTGCTACCTGGTTGTTGCTGGTCAGTAGGTGGTGCTGTAACGTCCAGGCCAATAAATGCCTACCATTGCCGCAATAATCCAGTACGCCATCGGATTATGGCGCAATGCAAAAATAGATATGAATTTACTCCATACCGTCGCACACAGTATACGAGCCTCTCGTTGCATATTCATGTAAAAGTGTACGTATAAACAATTGAATTAGAAATACGAAATGGAATTGCCAAATTTCTCTGCAGCGCTACAATAATGTCGGAAACGATGAATGTCGTCTAACGCGCTTTTCCAAAGCTAACTACGTATGCAAGTATTATTTATTTAAAACTTGAACGGGCTATTTTCAAAGAAAATTGAAATTTTATATTTTTTAGTATTATCGTATATTTACGAAATCGAGGAATTTTCGTTGTTGTTGTAAAGTTTTGCGAGTGCATTAAATATTTCTTTATTATGCTTTCTCGTAGTTTCACGTTTTCACGTGCGTATGGTCGTGGCGCTGCATTGTGCTGACGTTCAGGGGTCTTTCTCTGTATTGTTATGCACTAGGATATGACCCCTTATAATATGAATCATTATGAAATCAGTTTCATAAATCAAGCATATGGTATACGTGTATTCTGAAAATTGTTAATCGGATGTGACGTGTAGCAATGAATTTCATGGATTCAAAGATAAAAAAAATCCCCTTCCCCTATACACTCTTTTCTCACAAGCATCCTCTCAACGAACCTTGATATTCAGTCACACAAAGTGTAACAATATTGGTACTGGCAAGTCTGAGGGAAGCCATACAGTGCCAACGCGAAATACGTTCTGTTGATTCACCAAATATTACTTTTCGTAGATTCTATAGGAACGTGACACTCAACGTCCACATGGTTCTCTTTTTTAGGCTATTTTTATTAAAAAAAAAAACTGAAAAGTGAACTCTCGGAAAAACAAAATCCAATGCGTCGTAGAAACACGAGTTGCTTTAAACAAGTTTGAAAAATATTTTAGCCCCTCAGGGACGAACAATTTTTTTTTATTTATTCATGGTAATAGGGCACTTTGTGTTGTTGAAGTGTAGTTCAAAATTAATTTTTGAAATGCTATTGCTATTTCTTATTGAAACTTGAATCTCTTTTCTTTTATGAGATATATAGTAGACACACGATACCTCAACCATCATTAACTATTCTCAAGCTTCAAACTTTTTGCTAATGATCTTACTGCTCGTATACTATAATCACAGACAGTTGGCCATTCTATAATCTTGAAATTTCAAGAATTACTGCTCGATTCATAGGGGTGCGCTTCATTGTGACGAGAACTCGATGACGATTGTCGCTAAGGGTAAGTGGAGAAGCAAAGTTTTTCCTTTGTTCTGAGCTGCTGCCATTAAATGGAGCATGTTCCAGTCTTGATGAAATAGGCCGTTCCCTTTCTGAACCCCTTTCATTTCTATTACACTGTAATTTCAACTACTGTTACTACTACTGGTATCACTACTGCGGCTACTACTACTGGTACTACTAATTCTACTATTACTATCCTTTCTGACCTCTTCGTGCACTTTTGCACTAATACTTTTGTCTGAGAATCCCTCGGCAGAGTTCCTCGTTGAAAATTTATAATTAAAAAAAAACAAAATGGGATTAAGGGACAGTACCTATAGAATTAGAAAGATGAACAAAAAGTTGATAAAAGAATCTTATTTATTTGACAAATAAGGTACGAAGATTCTCTCAACATTTTATGGTACATGATAATACTGAAAAATGCGACTGAAGGTAGAATGCGAAAATCAACCAAAACATGGAGTACGATTAATTTCCATTGTTTTCCCCCGATTCCCGCGACAATAAATCATAGAACACACGAAAATGAATGTATTCGTGAAATAGAAGATAACAATACGACAAGCAAATAAAAGACTAAAAGGAATCTACATGAAATCCAATTCTACGTAAATATCAAAGAAATCTCGTATATCCATTGTCATTCTTTCGATATCAGGCATTCCCGTTATTCTTATTGGCAATTGGAAATTTCCTCTTGCATCTCGCCCCAGGAAGTATGTAATAGAATTATGTTGAGCTGCCCTATGCTATAATTATAGAAAAATTATTTTCTGTTAAAATCAGCAAAACAACAGATTAATAGTAATTGATATCCACCAGAGTGTCAATGTAAAACAAATGTAAAATCTTATAGGTTCAAGGAATCAATGAATTTCTTTAGTTTCTTGCTAAAAATGAAATAAATGAAAGTTCAATTTTCTGTAATCGTCGAGCATGAGGATGCTGCATTAGGAATGATGGTCTTGGGAAGGGGGAGGGGGCGTAAGAATATTCGTAAAGCAGTCCTTATCACTCGCATTCTTTCGGACACTTACAACCGTTTCCACAAAAGGGCAAAAATGCAATCGACTTTCTTTTTATATTATTTTTTGTCTCTTTCGCAACCTTATCTTCTCCCTTTATATCTCTCTCTCTTTCTTCTCCATTATAATTCTTATCCACGGGGGTGCCTGAGGGCCACGGACCTAAGAAAACGGCGAAAGGAACAAAGTACGACTAAGAAAAAGAGAGAGTGAGAGAGAGAGCTCTCTTTTCTCTTTTCTTTTTTTTATAACGCTACGACTTGAGCCACCCTCCAGCCCTTATTTCTCATTCCCCAACGAATCACCAGATGGGGATAAATGCCACATAATCCAACTGACTCTGATTGCTTCGCGGTAGCCGACAAAGAACCAAATCCGCCCTCAATTTCGGTCCATCGATTGGCAAAATTTCTCAGAATTCCAAGAGCAAACATCAGGATTCACTCCAAAAACTTGTACCATTTTCTCATCCAGTTTCAAAACAGTCAACATAAACGAATCGCGTACAAAAAAGTTAACGTTTTTTACTTAGAAGTCTTCTATACGACATGTCTGACCCTATATTTGCAGCTACTACTTGAATTCAATCGAA